TGCATGCGGCGGGGCGCGGAGCGGCGGCGCGGAGCCATGGCGGGGGCGCCGCGGGGCAGGGCCGGCGAGAAGCAGTGCTGTGAGTAGCCCCGGGCCCGGGGGGTGCTGCGGGGGAGGATGCGCGTTCCGTAAAGAAATGAAATCAACTGCGGGAGGGGGATGAGCGCTCGCCCCGAGCCTCGCTCCGTCCCGCGGGGGACCCTGCTCTGTCCCCTCTGTCCCCTCCCTGTCCCGCTCCCCCACAACCTCCCGGCTGCTGCATCCATCCCCATCCCCTGCTTTTCCCCCCAAATCCGCCTCTCCACGGGCGTTTTCGGAGCTCGCTCGGGCTGTTCGCTGAGAGAACGTGACCGTTTTGTTAAAAACATCTTTGGTTCGCCCTTGACGGCTCCTGCCCGGGCGGAAAATGCTTTTAACGCTAAAAGCCCCATTAGGCGGTGGTGCTGCCGCTTCGCCTCATTAGCGAACAGCCGGGAGAGCGCGGTCCCAGCGGTCCCAGCAGCTCATGACAGCGGGGACACACCGCCAGCCCGTCCTGGGATGCACGGAGATGCTTTATCCACCGGGAGATGGGATGTGACGCCGGGCTGGGTCTCGCTTTATGCTCTGCAGCTCCGATCATGCTGTTTTGGGGTGGTTTTGGGGTTGTTTTGTTGGGTTGTTTTTTTTTTTGCAGCATGGGCTTCCTACATGACCAACTCCCCGACGCTGATCGTGATGATCGGGCTGCCTGCGCGGGGCAAGACCTACATGTCCAAAAAGCTCACCCGCTACCTCAACTGGATCGGGGTGCCCACCAAAGGTGGGGCTGTGTGGGGAGATCCCTGCCCTGTGCCAGACCACCTGCCAGTGAAATGCCCTCTCACTCTCCTCCCTTGTGTGTGAAGTGTTTAATTTAGGGGTGTATCGACGCGAGGCGGTGAAGTCCTACAAGTCCTACGACTTCTTCAGGCACGACAACAAAGAGGCCATGGAAATCCGCAAGTGAGTCCCTGCCGGGGGCTGGAGCGGTCCGTGCAGGGCTGGGGGCACTGAAGGCTCGGCAGGCTGTGTGGCTGAGGAGCACAAAGTAACCCTGAGTGCCTGTGCAAGGAGGGAGGAACAGCACAGCCTGTGCAGGAATCCTGCCAGGGATGGCTGTGGGAGTCTGGGGCTGGCACAGAGCTCAGGGGCGGAGAGGGTCAGGTCGCAGATGGAGGTACCCCAAAGTCTCTGGGGCTCTTAGAACAGTGATACAGGGCTGGGAGGGAGGTGTTTGGCTTCTGCTGGCTCAGCTTGGCTGTGGGAATGCTTTCCATCAGCTGTGACCATCCCTATTTCTGTCCTGCAGACGCTGTGCCCTGGTGGCTCTGGAAGATGTGAAGTCTTATCTCTTGGAGGAGTGCGGGCAAATCGCTGTAAGATCCTCTGCACTAAAAATGCTTTTACATTGGGGCAGTTCAAAGCTGCCTTGGAGCGTTGGTTTGGGGCTGGGGTTTAAAAGTCTTAAGATCAACTTGCTCAGTGCTCCTTCCTCATTTTCTTCCAGGTGTTTGATGCGACCAACACGACTCGGGAGCGACGGGACCTGATCTTAAATTTTGCTAAGGAAAATGCTTTCAAGGTAGTGCTTTAATTATGTGTTTAATTTGCAGTCGCTACACCGAGGGGTGTTGTGGCTCCCCAGCACCAGAGCTCTCGAGTTTAGACTCTGAAATGTGTTTCCTTGCCTTCTCCCCAGGTGTTTTTCGTGGAGTCTGTCTGTGATGATCCAGAGGTCATCGCTGCCAATATCCTGGTGCGTGCTGCCCTTCCCAGGCTCGGCTGCCGTGGGAACTCGGGGAGCTCGTGGGGATCTCTGCAAGTGCTTCCCTCTCACGTTTCACCTGCAGAATAAGCAGCTGGGATTTGCAGGTTTATTAAAAGCCAGAGATGCTGTTATGTGAGACTCTGGAAATCAAATGGAGCCGGGCAATGAGTGACCTTGAAGCGCTGTCCTGGCGAGGGAGGGAGGGCAGAGCTGGGAGCCAGCGGTGTCTGTCAGGGCCAAGCACTTCAGTGCCTTGAGAGTCTTTGTTTCCTGGCCAGAAGCCGGTTTTTCCTCGGGGCAGCAGTTAAACAAAGTGTTAAACAAAGTGGGGAATAATGTAATTCATCGTTGCTTTTGTTCCTTCTTGAGTTTGCTTAACCCGGTGTCTGTTGGGCAGGAGGTGAAAGTTTCCAGCCCTGACTACCCAGAGAGGCACCGGGAGAACGTGATGGACGATTTCCTGAAGAGGATCGAGTGCTACAAGGTCACCTATGAGCCTCTGGACCCGGATGCTGATGACAAGTAAGCAGAACCCCGAGGTGCCCTCTGTCCTTGGGCACAGGAGCTGCTTTGCACTGCCAGCACCTCTGCCCTCCCCAGCTGTGACAGGTGAATCACGTCCCAGGTGACATCTGAAGGGGTTTTTCTCTCTGTGTGCTGCAGAATGGTTTGGGTTGGAAGGGATCTCAAAGCCCATCTCTAAGAGCCATGGGCAGGGACATCTTCCACTATCCCAGGCTGCTCCAAGCCCTGTCCAACCTGGACACTTCCAGGGATCCTTGTGCCAGGGCCTCCCCCCTCTCCCAGGGAAGGATTTTTAAGCAGAGCACTTCAGAGCCTGTCCTGCCTTCCCTAGAGGAGGAGTGGCTGGGTGACACCCGCAGCCGCTCGTTTTTAAAACCAGCCCTGTGGGTTTTCTTATTTTCTGTCGATTGCAGAGATCTTTCCTTCATTAAAGTGATTAACGTGGGCCAGCGGTTCCTGGTCAACCGAGTCCAGGATTACATCCAGAGTAAGATTGTCTATTACCTGATGAACATCCACGTCCAGCCGCGCACCATCTACCTGTGCCGGCACGGGGAGAGCGAGTACAACCTCCTGGGCAAGATTGGTGGGGACTCTGGTCTGTCAGCCCGAGGGAAACAGGTACTGCCAGCCCTGGGGGCTGGGGGTGTGCCCTGGGGGCTGGGTGTGATGCCCTGGAGCTGTGCTCTGGGGGCTGGGGCTGTGCTCTGGGGACTGGGGGTGATGCCCTGGGGGCTGGGTGTGATGCCCTG